GGGGGTTGGTGTGTTTATTTCTAGAAAAACTTAAAAATTTTTGACACCTTCACGTCGTAAGACCTACTTGGGTTGCAAGTGCCGTAAAACTCCTACTAAAACTAAAATAATATAGGAGGCGGCTTCCGACCCTTCCTGTCAAGGCCAAGCCAGGCTGAAACAGAAAAGGAAACAACATCCCTCATCCCAGCACAAAGACCGACATTCCGACATAGACTACTCGATACAAAATTCTCCTCCCTTGGAAACCGAACTCTGGTCTTCTGCGTGGGTCGTCACAGATTTCAGCTACCGAAGAGTGAAAGCAGGACATATATAAGTTCCAGATCCAAAAGACTGATGGACTGTGCCCATGATTGGTGATATTTATTGCTATTGTTAATAATTGTCTTAAAGGTTACTAAGGAACAATCATTTCTTTTCGAAAAAATAAAGATACTTAAAGACAATTCCTTCTTTCCGTGCATCGTTTCATTTTTTAGTAAACGACCTGTGAGGTCTTATAACACCTAGCCTTCTCGGATAAGGGTTTAAAAACTCGGTGGGCCCGTGTGCAAGTTGCGCACATAAAAAATCCCTTTGTGGTCCTAAAATAGCCAATACGAACATACTAGAATTATGTAAGAGGTTGGCGTATAGAATGAAATCCATGTCCGATAGGACTGGCCCAAGTTTTAAGAATTCCTCGTAAACTCCTCAGTGGGTGGTTGTCGAGTGCTCTGGTGTGGTTTACTCTTTCTTTCCTATCAAACATCTATCGTCCTTATCTCTCCTCCTTTTTTTCTCTGTATGTTCCTCCCTTGTTGTATCTCTAATCTTCGGCACTCATTTATATTTCAGACAGTAAGCTAACATTATCTTTATAAATGCAATACCTTTGATTATTCGTCTTAATCTGTTACTATTTTAAAAAGAGAAAGGAGACTAGGGGGAATCGATGCGCCTCATCAAACTCAAAAACATTGATCTACTTGATTTTCTTTATTTCGAAATTTTGACGTGCAGTAATTCAATGTTGGATGACGGCGACAAAAGACAAGATCTATAGTTCTTAACTCAATTTTTGTTTTAAGAGCATGGGACAGTTAAGAGTAAGCACTGTCTAACAATCTTCTTCAGGTGTCAGATTGCGACAAGGGGGTTGTTAAGAGTAAGCATTGTCTAGCAATCTTCTTCTTCATGTGTCAGACCTTCATGTGTCAGATCTTCGTGTGTCAGATCTTCATGTGTCAGATCTTTGTGTGTCAGATCTTCATTTGTCATATCTTTGCCTTCATGTGTCTGATCTTCATGTGTCAGATCTTTGTGTGTCAGATCTTTGTGTGTCAGGTCTTCGCCTTCATGCGTCTGATCTTCATGTGTCCGATCTTTGTGTGTCAGATCTTCATGTGACAGATCTTCGCCTTCACGTGTCAGGTCTTCATGTGTCAGATCTTTGTGTGTCTGATCTTCATGTGTCAGATCTTCATGTGTCAGGTCTTCATGTGTCTGATCTTCGCCTTCATGTGTCAGGTCTCCATGTGTCAGGTCTTCATGTGTCAG